GAGTGTGGGTGTGGGTGTGGATGTGTGGTGTGATGCGTGGGTGTGGTGCATGGGTGTAGGTGTAGGTGTCGGTGTGGGGTGTGGATGTGGGGTGTGGGTGTGATGTGTGGATGTGGGCGCAGATGAAGAGAAGAGCTAAACTCGCACCCACACCCACACCCACCCATACTCTTGTAACTCATGTTTTCTTGTTTACTGCATTTTCTTCTAAAGAATTTTTTGTATCTTTTGTGTTATAAGTGACAAAAAAGATAATATGTAATTGCACAAACGATTTGAAATATCTTCATATATTTTTCTATAAAAACAAGCTTGTTAAAAACATTCCTTCAACAAATTCTTTAGGTTTTACAAGATGGTGTGGGTGTGGGTGCGGATTTAGCTCTTCTCTTCATCTACACCCACGCCCACACCCACACCCACACCTACACCTACACCCTTAAAAGGTTTCAAATGTGTGGGCGAGATCCGGTTATGCTTTCGTAATGATTCCGGAGGCCTCGGATTTTATCGAAAATGATCGTGATGCCCATGTAGCCGATCAGGGTACTAATGAATGCAATTACATTAGAATGCAACCCAAATAATGCATGGCAGTGCAACATTAGGGTTGCATTTTAGCGTAATTGGATCCATTATTTCCATGAACAGCTACATGAAAAGAGATATTAGATGCTCTGTCAAGTTCAGTCAATGATTATTTTCTGGAAGAAAGAAGGTATCCCAAATGGAGGGAAGTATTAGATTGTAATGTTGGTATTGGGTTTAGTATGTATGTAACGTTAGTTGTGATCATTTCTTGAGTAAGTTGATATCATGGATGAAAGTTGTAGAACTAAGCTATGTTTTTTGTGGTGATTTCAATTCAATGGAACGGAAAATATTTCAGAAGCATGCATAGGAAGAGAGGATATCTGAGAGAGAGTGAAATATATGAAATGTAGAGATGTTAGAGAGAGAAATTAGGATGGAATGTAGGAGTTGCCGAAGAAGAGATTTGAAGAGAGGATATAGGATAGGGAGAGTGATTAGGAGACAGCATATTTCACACGGAAAGATATTTGAAAAGAAAATATTAGAGAGGGAGAGAGAGATTCAGAGAAAAAATGTTTCACAGAGAGAGACAGATTTAGAAAGATATTCAATATGGAGAGAGATTTACAGGGTTTGTTTTAGAGAGAGAGGACTGAAAAGAGAGAAAATAAGATGTGTGCGACACGTTAATTATTGTTTCATTTTACACAAAATGAATTCGAAGAAGTTTGCTGTCTGCGCGTGTTGTGGTAATCGCCTGAGTGCGATTAGTCGACGCCCTTTGAAGGGAAAGTGTATTCGGCTTTTTGTTGCTACTCGTTTGTTTCCAACTTCTCTGCCGACTGATTGCTATATTTGTACTACGTGCCGCGCAATGTATAATAAGTGGACAGCTCTACCAGAATTCGGCAATTTTCTGGCAACGATCGTCAATAACCAGCAAACCACAGCTACAGCTGCAGGACACGTCAGCGACGAAGATGAAGAGGATGAAGAGTGTATGGATGACGAAAATGGCAGTGACCGCCTGTCTGATGAAGCATCCAGTGAGATCGATTCGATGGATGACGATACTGCTGGCGTGCACATGTTGGATGCACCATCCAGTGATGGCGTATCCGTCGATGATTCAGCTGCCAGTGGTGATCAATTAGGAGATGAAGAGATGACTTCCGATGAAAATAATGGAGCAGTAAGTTCAGGTCAATATATCCTATCTTTATTTGGTCTTAATTTTCAGATGGATTCAATTCCCTCAGATGAAAATACAGACGGAGAAGGTATCGATGTTCCAATTGAAGTTGCTGTCTTTTCGCGAAGGTAGATATTTACGATACAAACACTTGACTCCTTTTTGTTTTATAGTCAATGTTGTTTGTAAGGAGCAAATTGTTCCTCCAGCGGTGACTGTTCGTGAAGAAGACCGCACTGAAATGTTTATCCGACGCCACATCGACATACCTGCAGGATCCGGATGCTGCAAGATACATACTGTGGACAAACGTCTGTTACCTGAAGCGTTTCTATCCCTGGTACCACACAAAGTGGAAGGTCGAGTTTTCTCTCGGGAAACTCTTATTAACCTCCTTCAATCGTATCGTACACGAATCAACAGTAACAAACATCTTGATTTCGGCGAATGTATGTGCTTGACAGATGCTGATTACATCAAATTAACTGGATTTACTCGAGCTCAGCATACTCAAATTTTGTCACACATGCCTTCCACTGCTCTGAAAAATTCAAAGACACGATCGACTCGATCTGCTTTGGCGTATCTTCTGATGAAATTGAAACTGGGGTTGAGCAATTCGGTTTTGGCATCACTGGTCGGCGTACATAGCAAACGTCAAATGAGTCGTATCATTTCTAATGCTCGAGTGGCACTTACTCAACACATTGTGCCTTCTTATTTGGGTTTGGCTCACTTGACACGACAGGATGTCATCGACAAATATACGTCTCCACTCGCTAGTCGTTTACTGACCGAACGCCGAGACCCATGCATACTTGTACTCGATGGAACATATCTATATATACAGGTAGGATGCACGACACACTTTTCTAAGTAACTGTCTTTTTTGAGAAAATAGAAGAGTCGAAATAATACGGTTCAACACAAAACATTCAACCTGCAGAAGAAACGATCGTTGATCAAGCCAATGGTCATGGTAACAACAACTGGGTATATCATCACAATTTTTGGACCATTCTTCTCCAACTTTCATAATAATGACGCTTCTATTCTGAAACATGTCATGCTCAACAACTACGAGGACATTGTCAATTGGACCAAAGAAAATGACATCATGATCCTAGATAGAGGCTTTCGTGATTCTCTTGGTGTGCTAAAAGCTTTCGGAATCGACGCTGACATGCCATCGTTTCTCAGTAAAATTCGACGACAATTCGACGACAATTCGACGTGTACGATGCCAATTGATCTCGCTTTGTCACGAAGCTATGCTGGGTGGTTGAATGTGTTAACGCACGGATCAAGAAATTCAGATGGTTCAGTCAAACCATTCAAAATTCATCTTTACCGATCGTTTCTGATTATATTGCCATCGTGGCAGCACTTAGCAACTGCTTTCACGTGCCCATGGTAACAGCTTCACCAGACGATGACAATATAATTCGACGTATGAATCTGCTGCTAACACAAAGTAACGTATTGCAAGAACGCCTGATCCAACGTGATCTGCAGCGACATACTATTTGG